TCTTGCCCTAGGCTGGCCTTGGTGTAGTCTGCCTTGGTCACTTCCTGTGATTCTAAGGTCTTCAGATTCTCTGATTTTACTGGCGAGTGGCTCTCCACTGTCCCTTGGGTACCTGTGATCTTAGGCTGAGCCACCCGCATAGTTTGTAAGCATTTGGCTCCCTGCCTTGATTTCCATCTTCATCTCTAACACAGAAGAGCGTCTTCAAAGATTCCCCAAACACTTTTCCTATTCTGAGCCTCGGTGTTCTGTGCAGTCTTCTAAAACCTCCAGATTCTGCTGTGGCTATGGCTCCTCAGCTTCCAACTCCTTTCAACAGTGGCTGACACATTTTATTTCTTCCTGGGGCTAAAGCACTGATCTAAGTACTTCGAATCTTCAGAATTGCTACTGGGACTCCTCTTGTATGGATGAAAACACAAGAAACACACAGAGAAGTCACACGCACAATGTAAGGCTATGCAGCTAACATGTTCTGGATCCAAGGGTCAGACCCTAGCAAACTACTCTAGGATCCCTGATGCTTGACCCAGGAAACAGATGCTGAAGGATTAAAGGTGCATGGAGAACATAGGGACATCGAGCAAAGTCCTAACAACAGAGGGCTTACTGCTCCTTGAGGCATTTTCTCTTCTTGTTCCTATTCTGCAGGTTGTGCAATGCCTCGTGACATCCTACCACCCGTGGAGAACTAACAAGAAAGCATCTAAAGACTGTGCAAAGAATTGCAGACTTAGCAGACAAGTATATGGGCTGCCTGGCTGAATTTGGAATTTTAGATGGGAACAACAACAACAAAATTTAACTATCACTATGTCTGTAACTATGGAACATTAGGCTGTGTGTGTGTGTGTGTGTGTGTGTGTGTGTGTGTGTATGAAAACAGTTTCACTGCTCATTTGAACTTCAGGTTTACCTGGATATCTTCTCTTTTATCTGGAAAACCCAGTTCTAGAGTAGTGGGTTTCCCTCCAGAATACTCATGGGTGTTGCTTTGTCTAAGTAGTACAGAAATTGACATAGAAAGCATGCCAGAATCAGTTCTAAAAACATAAGGATAAGCAGGCCTGGTGATGTAGACCTAGGATTCTTGCTGCTTAGCAGATTGAGGCAGGAGCACAGCAAGTGCAAGACCTGCTTAGGGAACAGACTGAATTCCAACCAGCCTGAATAACGTTTAACCCTTTCTTAAAATTAAAAACTAAAAGGAGGGCTGGAGGTCAAGCTTTAGTAGCAGAGCTGCTTCACACGTGAAAGGCGCTAGGCTCAGTTTCCAGCACAGACACAAGCACAGCACACGGTGGGCCCTACTCCTTCAATGTCTCCCCTGGGAAACCTGAAAAAGGCTCTCTGGCTTGGAGCAGAACTCCCTGGGATGACATGCATAGGCCTGCCCATGGGTAGTGTGTTCCAGGTTCCGTTTCTAAAGGTCCTCACCCTGTCTCCTACTGTCACCTCCTTCCTTCTTCTCTTCTTAGTTATCTCCTGTACTAACTGGAAAAAAAAATTTACAAACCAAAAACCACTTACGGATGTGGCCCTCCCCTTCCTCCTTGACATCTCACAAACCGTGTCTGAGTAGATGGCTTGCTTGCTTTTCCTCATGGCGCAGGTGACAGGGATCTAGAAGAATAAAGGCCCTCAGAGGACTGTGATCTCAACAAGACATGTTACAAATTCCCCAAACCTCCACTAGGACAGTTCTGAAATCAAAATAGTACACACACTTGTGCTAAAGCTTGCTTTATTCATGACTAGTATCCCAGCAGACCAAAGTGTCCTCTGTTCCTCATGACCTGACTTCAGCCATGTTCCCCCTGTGCCCTGTGTTCAGAGGTTTCCACCAGTAGAGCATTTCTGAGTTCTTTAGCAAACTGACTTCTCACATGCTACTCTGTTTTCACCAGTTACCAAGATGTCCCAGGACAGATCACATTTACATGAAGTGTGTTTGGGTGAGTATACCTTGCCTGCTGGGCAACCACACTGAGTAGCAGAGAAACACACATAGGATGTAAATCAGCATCCCAAAGAACAAGAGGATGCTTTCTTGGGCATCCAGATTGCAACGCAGGAGACCTTAAAGAGGACCTGTCATGTGCACAGGACCTGGAACCAAGGCATCAAAACAGCATGTGTTCTATTTTCAGCCACTGGCTTCCATACCACAGATTCTGTATCCTTAAGTGTCTTAGTTAGGGTTTCTATTGCTGTGAAGACACCATGACCACAGCAATTCTTACAAAGAAAACATTCAACTGGGGTGACTGATTTACATTTTCAGATGTTCAGTCCATTATCATCATGGCAGGGAGCATGGCAGCTGGAAGTATGATGGTGTGCAGGCAGACACAGTGCTGGAGAAGTTGCTGAGAATCCTATATCTTGCAGGCAACAGAAAGTCAACTGAGACACTGAGCGGTATCCTGAGCATAGGAAACCTCAAAACCTGCCCCCACAGAGACACACTTTCTCCAACAAGGCCATACCTACTCCAGTAAAGCCATACCTCATAATAGTGCCACTGCCTAAGAGATTATGGGGTCAATTACATTCAAACTAACACACTAAGACTTAACACAGAGGCTATGACAAAGTATACACCCCCCTTCCACTTATGTCTTGGTCATCATTCACTTAATATTATGTTCTCACACATGGTGTGGGAAGTCCTTCTGTATATGTGTTGTTTGCGGTGGGGGGGGGACTAAACTGAATGCTGGGAGAAAGAAGGCTGATTCAGAGAGACACCATGTAGCCGCTGCCACCAAAAGAGATAGACACCGGGCAACTTTACTGGTAAACCACGAACCTTGTGGTAAAACATAAAATAATGAAATTGTGTTAATTTAAGATACAAGAGCTAGATAACAATACCCTTAAACTATTGGCCAAGCAATGTTTTAAATAATATAGTTTCTGTGTGATTATTTCAGGTCTGGGAAACCAGGAAACAAACAACAGCATCCAATAACACATACACATGTGCACGCATAGTCCCACACACTGAATACAGAGTGCAAATGAGCATGTGTGCGTGCACACAAACATACACACACCTACTAGCTGTTGGAAAAAGCAGAATGTGTCATTAGAATATTGGAATTGGATAACAAACAAATAAAAAGTGAAGATGCATGCCAGTTGTTAGTATATCATGAAGAAAACAGCATTTCAGGCATAGAGATGGAGGCTGGGAAGATAACCCAGTAAAGTGCTTGCACTGTGAGTGTGGAGATCTGATTTCAAACCCAATCGCCCATGCTTAAAAAGCCAGGCACAGTGGTACAGAGTTATAATGCCAGCACTAGAAAAGCAGAGACAGGAGAATCCCTGGGGTTCTGTGGCCAGGCAGCGTAACACACTTGAGGAGTTTATGTCAGTGGGAGACATTGTTTCAAACAACAAGTGAACCTCGGGGCAGCACATAGATGAAGAGAAATGGGTTAATTTCAGTTAAAAGAGCTAACTAAAAATAAGCCTAGGCTATTGGACAAGCTTTCATAGTTAATATAAGTTTTCATGTAGTGATTTGGGAGCTGACTAGTGGGACAGAGAAAGACTGGTTACAAAGGACAGGCAGTATCTGAGCAGCACACAAGAAACTGTCCTATGGCTTCTACATGTACTCACACACATGGGCATGCATACTCCCAGACCCTATATAAAAACACACGTGCACACACACACACACACACACACACACACACACACACACACACACAGAGGTACAGGGAGATAACACAATTGGTAAAGTGCTTGCCATTCAAGTACGAGGACTTGAGTTTGGATCCCTAGAAGTCATGTTTAAAAAAAGTCAGGTGTGGTTATATGTACCTGTAACCCCATTACTGAGGAGGCAATGACAGGAGGATCCCTGGAGCTTGCTAGCTAAATATTCTAATTAACTCAGTAGACTCCACACTTGATAAGAGAGCTTGTCTCATAAAATGAGAAGCAGAATGATTGAGGAAGGCACCTGATATCAACCTCTGGCCTCCACATGCCTGTGCAAATATAAACACATTTGTATAAACACACAAACTTGTTGCGGTGCTTTGAATAAGAATGGCCACCATAGGTTCACATATGTCAGTGCCTAGTTTAGTCATCAGGGAGTGGCATCATTTGAAAGGTATTAGAAGGTGTGCCTTGTTGGAGGAAGGATGTCACTAGGGATCTTTTGAGTCTTCAAGAGTCCATGTGATAATCTCTCTCTCTCTCTCTCTCTCTCTCTCTCTCTCTCTCTCTCTCTGTCTGCAGATCATGCTCCGGCATCTGCCTACATGCTTTCACGTTTCCTGCCATGAAGATAATGGAATAAACTCCCCCACGTTTCAATTAACTACTTTCTCTTATCATAGTTACCTTACTCATCATGGTGTCGCTTCACAGCGATGGAGCAGGGACTAAAACACGTGTGCACACACATGCAAAGTGGAGACAGAGATATGAGGATGTCTGTCATGTAGGAAGTGATCCGGGGAGATGTCTCTGATTTCATAGTTTTATAAGTGGGCAGAACCTTAAGGCAAATGAAGAAGTAAGCCATACAGCTCCCTGTGGGGAGTATGTCCCAGGGCAGCAGAAGGGAAGGAAATGCTGAGACCAGCTGCAAAGCAAGAGTGTATAGAGGTGTGAGAGACAACGAAGAAGGTCTAGGAAATGGAGCAGGGGTTGGGGAGGAAGAGCAGCTGGAGAGAAGGTCCATGAAGATCCTGTGGGCACTCGAGCCAGTGGAATGGGCAATGTTTCAACTGACAGGGAAATCCAGTGGGGGATTTCATCAAGTTGATCGAGCGCTCTCTGAAGGCTATGCCTATACATTTGAGAGTGAACACAACGGTAGGAACAGGAGCTGTTCAAGGTCATTGCAACAGCTGTAGCATGAGATGATGGTGGCCATGACCAAGGTGGTGATGCTGAAAAATGTATAAGTCACTTAGGAGCTCTGCAGTTCCCCTTGGCCTAAAAAAAGAAGGAAGACTCTAGATTTCTGATATGGCTGCAAGCTGAGTCTTTATTTGTTTTTCTCTTTCATAATTTCATTGATATATATTTGACAAGCCTAAACTACATTTATGTAGTATATAACATTGTAATTTGACTGAACCAGATAGCTTGCTCTTGCCAGCCAGATGGATCAATTTTTTATGTTTTCTATAGGAGCTAAATAGTGAATTTATGTTTGCACCATTCAAGAGTAAGGGTTTCCTGTCTCCTTACCCTTGTCCATGCTTACCCTAGTACTCTGGAAGTATAGCAAGTGCTCATTACTTTTCGCTGAGCCATTGCTCTAGCCTCCTTCCTTTTCTCATTTTGTGAAACAGATGTTTTCAATGCAGAGTTAAGCTTCCCGGTGATGTGGTGGACATTGATTATAGGACCTCCAGGCATGCTAGATAATTCAGGGAATGGAGAGGTGATGGATTCCAGGCATCTTTGGAATTCCCTAAGAAAGGAGACAGGTTATATTACAAAGATGTAACAAACCATTTGGAATAAAGGTTTTATACAAAACTGAGAAAATGTCATTTACAGGTAGCAGCTGAAACCACCCAGGTAAGTTAAGAATAGTCTTTCCCCATTCCTAAATTATGCAATTTTCCTGTGAGCTATATGTATCTTGATTAACAAAAGAAAGAAAAGATAAAGAATAATTGATCTAGAATACTATGTTAAGGGGAGGAAGGAAAAGGAATCTATTTCCTGGAGCTATATATATATTTTTAATGAAGTAGATCTACATTTGTTAATTAGGGAAAGAAAGACAACTTAGCCACTCGGGCACGAATCCCCCACACTGTCTGGGGTTTGAAATTTTCATTGGTGTGGGTCAGCTGGATCATCCAAACACATATAAGGTCTCTGGTAGTACATGTTTCTGTATGAAACATGAGCTTTCTCTGTGTAGCTGTGTGGTTTGTGGGTTCCTTGTGGAAGCTGTACACATGCTAAGTTTCATACAAAAGGTTTTTGTGCTTTAGAGTGTGTCTCTGTGTGTTTTGTCAGTTAGTGTTTGCTCTATCAACCCCAGGAACCCAAAATCAGCAGAGCTGGGCTCCTGTCTTAGCTCTCACTATCTCCTGGTGGCATCTCCAGGTTCATACGATCACTTAGCTACCTGAAGTTGAAAGACCACGTGCACTGCTGACCTTCCTCTGTGTAAAGGACACCAGGACGCTGAGATCCTGGAAAGGAGGTCAGGACAGCCCGAGGAGTGGGATACCTAGAAATCCCACAGCATGAAGAAGGGCTGGCAAAACTAATATGCAGTCTACATGGGGGTGGCTGACCTGGGAAGGAAGTGATAATACCTTCAAAGAGTTGACTTGATCCCAACCCACACTGTTGCTGAGCCAGAGATAGATTTTTTAACTCACTATTCACAGAAAAAAAAAAAGCAACAAAAACCAAAACAATTCTGACAGTATTTGCCACTCAACAGGGAAATGAACGGCCTTAGAAAGAGTTCCCATTCTTGGGAAGACAGATAGAGTTCAAGGAGCAGAGCTGAGATTGAACTCCATCTTCCTAAATCTCCTCTCAGTTTACAGATGCCCTTGGGTGATGAGTGCCAGGATCGAGCCCAGCTCTATGGACTTCCGTACACCTGTGACTGATCGTGAAAACACTCGTCAATGAACAGCACATGAATACACTGTTATGCACAAAACCATACTGCATGGAACCTCACTGTCATTTTCACGATCATCTCACCATACTTCTATGCTACTCTAGTTTTAACATAAGGAACAAAATTGCACGGACTTTTTCTAAATGGCTATTAAACCTCCGGTTCCTTTTCTACCAAGATGCACACTGTCATTTTGACTTAAGATAATCCCAACGCTTCTGAGAAATTTACAGCGAGGCAAATACCTATCATTCCTCAGGCTTCCTGGACCATGTGGTGACTGCCTTCAGCCAGGCACTGCGAGGCACCCTTGCCCCAGAAGGTGCCTTCTCCTGGTGTGGCCCCAGGTCAAGGCCAATCAATTTGGCTTTGAGGGAAGGAATGTGAAGCAAGCCTCTCCAGGAAGGTCCAGATGTTCTGCTGCGCTTTCATGACGGCTTCTGCTATATGACATATGGCAGAGCCCTTGAGAGTCAGGCCAGGCGTTGTCAGGAAAGGCAATCACTGATGGTCAGGCCCCCTGGAGGACAAGGGAGATGCAGATGAAGTAACAGAGGAACGAGTTGTCACAGAAACCAGGGACTAGAAGGTGGTTTTCAAGCCAGGGAACCTGATACTCACACAGCTTGACCTCTTCACTTTTATAGACAAGGCAGTGACTTTCCAGAAGCGAAGTCCAAGGTCAGCTCTGCAACAGTCAAAGCTGTACTCACGTGGCCCAGAACGTTATTTTCCTCTGGATTTATACCTGCAGATTCTTGTTTAGCTCATCACGTCTTAACCCTGAACGCACTATACCATCCAGGCTGTAGAGCGTCCACCGCACTCGAATGCCTTCAGAGGGATTGACGAATTTTAAATATTTGCACGCACCCTGCTTCCCACCGCAACCAAGGTCACACGATGAAATCTTAAATTCCAAGGTGATGGTATTAGAAAGCGAATGGGCCTTTGGGAGATGAGGGTGGAGGCTTTGTGAGTAGAATTAGGGCCTGTGTCGATTTTTGCTACTGTAAAATCTATTATAGACTGGATTGCCTCTAAGTAATGGAAATGTCAAGCTAGTGTGGAGTGTTAATGAGAATTGGTTTCTGCTTCTAAGACGGTTCCTTCTTGCTGGATGGTGCCCTCTTCAAAGGATGGATGCTACGTCATCCTATGGTAAAAAGGCTGAAAGTAGCCCAAGTACATAACGAAACTTCTTTCCTCAGGGTCAGAATCTCCTTTGCAAGGGAGGAGTTCTGTGACCCTGTGACTTCCTAAAGGCCAGGCCTGGTATTATTACTGCATTGGAGGCCAAGTTCTAACCGGGGTGAAACACAAACACTTGAGCCACAGCCATGTGCTTATTTTAGAAGGCCCCGGAACCTCCTTCCTCGCCCCTCCCCTGGGTGGCAAAATGGCAAGAAGCCATCATTTTTGAGGAAACCGGTTCTTACCAGGCATTGAATCTGCCTGCACCTTCATCTTAGGCTTCCCGGCTTCCAGAACGTTGAGAGATAAGTTGTTATTGTCTGTAAGTCCCCTGGTTTATGGCACTTTGTGCTAGCTAAGCTGGACCAGACTAAAGAAGAGACTCCGTCCATGAAAGGTGCTGAATTTCCTAACAGGGCAGGGGGCCATACCCCCAATGGGACAAAGAAGAGCACCTGTCTACAAGCAACCAAGGGGAATTCCGCCACCTAGTGACAGTTCACTGTGGGCAACTATCCAACCGGGTAATCAGAGTCTCCCTTGAGAATTCAAATCAACAAAGAGGTGCAGTGTTACACAAAGTTCAGAAACAATTTATTTATTTTTTTCAAACAAGATTGCACTCTATGGCCCAGGCTGGTCTAGAACTCAGAGATTCCTTCTGTCTTTGCTTCCCAAGAGCTGGTATTAAAGGTGTGCCAACACACGGGGTCAGGCTCAAAAGTTTGAATCATCAAGAAAGGATAAGATTCTTCAGATGTTAATTAAGTAACCTTACTGTTCCTTAATTCTTGTTTCTGTGCTTTCCTGTAATGGAGAGCTAGAGAAAAATAGACACAGAGACAGACAGGCAGGCAGGCAGGCAGGCAGGCAGACAGACAGACAGAAACAGAAAAGCAGCCCCAACCCTACTTTTCAGTATAAATAATTCAAGCAATTCTTATACCATTTATTGTTTAAATTCCAGCCAATCACTGCAGGAGTCACTTGATTTCTCCTTTCTTTATTTAACATTGATTAAAAAAAAAAACTCCATTTAGTCAAGGTCCAAAGATAGTTAACTCTTATTCCTCAGTCTCAGTCTTAGCAGGGAAGTGGGGGGGGCACTATTACTACTTGATAATGATTATGATGAAGAGAGCAACAGAGAGTGTTGGGGCAGCAAAAACACACACACACACACACACACACACACACACACACTCACACACACAAAACCCATCTGGGGAAGTGGATCTGAGAGCAGGGAGGGGCAGTGGGAGAAGAGCTGCCCGAATGAGTAGGATTCCAGCAAAGGAAGAGCAGGGCCAGGCATGCCAGGTTCCATCGAGGGCACTGCGCTAAGGATGGGTATGAGTACATGGGGAAACTGCAGTTTGACAGTCATAGGACTGTTAAGACAGCAGGGCATAGCAAGAAGGAGGCTGACCCTTATCAACAAAGATAATAACTCAGGTTTCATGTTCCGGCCAAGTCTCACCAGCAGTCAAGGACAGAAACTCTGTCCCAAAACAAGTTTCACTGAGCCTGTGGACTAGAATTTTCCAGAATTCTTAATTTAAATGACATTAGTCAGCCAAGCTCTAAGTCCATCAAGGTCCCTACCACACCCCTTGCCCGTGTTCTCTTACGGAATGCATTTCCTTCTGCCCCTCCTGGGTGTGGTCTTTGCTCTCAGAAGGGTTGTTGGCTTTCTATGGGTAAGGGGATGATGGGACCTCTGCTTTACATGGGTTATCTCAGGAGATATGGAAGGGGAGGTTCGGAAGGATGCTCTCGAGGGAGAGAAATCCCTTAGAAGGACACTGTAAAAGACCAGCCAAGAGATGTCAACCACCTGTAGCTCTGCCCCGAAGGACATAGTACATGTAGAGGAGCGGGATGCACCACTTCTTGCTATTCCAACAACTGTGGAGCCTTTATCACCATTCATACTTCGAAGGCACAAAAAGGTTCAATTATCTCTACAAAGCGTTGACCTGAAATTCAGACTCCAGGTTACATGATGTAAATTTCACCCAAATGCACTCTCTTGTGTTGAGATTTTTGTGGCGTCCACACAGCCCAGGGGCCACAAATATAGTGTGATGGAGAAGGGTAGCTCAGCTGAAGCTTTGGATGGACTTTGGGATCCAGGAAAAACCACTGAAGCACACGGCTCACTGATCTGTGTGCTTGAAGCTGGTAGATTTCATGGGGGGTGTCTGCGTCTATTTGGGCTGCAATAGCAGTATACTGTAGACTGGATGGCTCATAAAAAATATATGCTTATTCCTCACAGATCTGGAAAAGTCTTTGGCAAGATACAGTGTCCCATGAAGACATGTTACCCCTGTGCCCATATGGTTAAAAAAAAAAGTGATTATTCCTCTAGGGTTTCCTTAATAATGACACTTATTACCCTGTTCAGGGGCCTCTACCCTGACCCAGTCACCTCCTAAAGCCCCACCTTCTAATATCATCACACAGGGAATGCAATTTTAACATATGAATTGGGGGTGGGGCACAAACATTCATACCACAGCACCTGGTAAAACCTCTCTACATTTTCCCTTCAGAAAATAAGGTGAAAATAATACAAGGAGAAAAGCTTGGTTTGTATAATAAAACACATCCACCAAAGCAGGTGTCATAATTTGGTTTACAGAATCACTGGGTTCGAATAGGATCAGAGGATCCTTCACGGCCATAGAAGCCTAGACTGGGAGCCTCTATCTCCATCTCTCCCCAGTTCTGAGGAGAATTTAGAAACTACCCCTGGCCCTGAGCAGCACCCTCAGAAACTGAAATGCTCCCCCTAAGAGAGAGCTTCTCAAAGTGCAGTTCCAAGAAGATAGCATGAGCATTGTTAGAAGCAAACAAAGAATAATCTCAGTATCATACAAAGAACCACATAACAGAGAAAGTAGCTCAGGAGGTAAGTCACCTTATAAAGGCTAGCTAGCAAGCACACTGGCCAACATGGCTCCTATCCTTTTTCCGTGACATCTGTGACAGCATTTCACCCCATCAGTGGGAGCTAGACTTCACAATCTGATGCAACTGGCTGATTTTTGCAAAGGGAAATGTGAAGGTTCAGGAAACATGAGTCCTGGCTGACCATACTGCCTTCAATGTCTAAAACAAAAGGTCAAGGAGGGCTCTTACAACAGATCACTTGGGCACCTGCGATGCTGGATTCTCAGGCCCCTCCTTAGACCCCTTGAACTGGAAACTCAGAGGTTTGGGTCTAGTTCTCAGCTTCCCCTAGTCTGCAATCAGATTCTGACACTAAAGACTGAAACCATTGCTCCAAAGGGCAGCAGCACACCAGAAATGTTCTGTTGAATTCGTGAGTCTCTCCTGTATTCTGAATTTCATCCAAGTGAGAAAATTTCACAAAGTCATACAGAGCTCTAGATGCTTTTGGTCACAGTGGACATGAGCAGACAGCCTGTTGGGAGGTTAGAATTCAAATTTCACATAGTTTTTGAAATTTTTATTTTATTTCTTGCTCTGATCTTAACTGTGATGACAGCTCCTTTGGAAAGCCTCTCCTGACCATCCTGGAGCTGTGTCACATGTTCCTGATCATCACCCCAGTGTCTGCCACTGTTTGGTCACATACTCCCCACTCTGGAGCCAGATGAATAGAGATATTGACCTTCTTGTTTATCCTTGCGTTTCCAGAGTGTAGTAGTAAGGCATTCGGTAAATTTATACTCGATTGAACACTTAGCTCACCTTTGCTGGGAAAGCCCATTATGGTAGCCCTTGGCCTGAGCTGATGCTCCTCTTGCTTTTGCTTGGTGCCTTGTTCTATTCCCTTTAGTCCAGCTGTAGCTGCTAGGCCATTAGAGATGCTTGGTCACTGTCTCCCTAATACTCAGTCTATGCTGAACTCTAAGTTGGTCTCCAGCATCCCACCTCATTATAGTCAACGCTATAGTCACTATCATCCCATAATCCTACCCCAGAATTCAAGATCTACTATGAGGGAGTGGTCCACCATGCTCTATTGTACCCTCACTACACAAGAGGCCTCAGTGAATGACTTTTTACTGACTTACTTATTCAATATTCAAACATCAGCTGTAAGGTCATTGAGGAGATGAAGAAAAACCAACCCCAAAAGGAGTGACTTGCCTGGGTTATACAGCAAGTGGGTAGCCGGGCAATAGCTGGGATCTATGGCATCAGACCTTCACCAGACCACTTTATACCTCTGTTGTCTCTTCACTGAACTAAAATGTTTGGTCTTTTTTTCCTGTAAGTAATTGAAGCCATTGAATCTCTGATGCTTCGGGGAAGTGGTAAGATGTTTTCTATTACACCGAAGGTAAGTGC